TCTTTCTAAATATAATATTCCAGTTACTCCTGAAGACATTGCTGTGGTTATGGATGCTGATCCCTCTGGACTAAAAATGCTTCTTAAAAATACCTGTCCTCTGCGATCTCCATACTCGTTGGATCCTGCTGAAACTGAAGTAGGCCGTGTCTGTTTCTCTCTTTCCTATATTAAAAATAATAACAGTTCTGTACGGGCTTTGTTTCAAAGGCATATTGTCTCCAGACCTTCTATTGTATCATTTTGGAATGGTTATGCTGATAGTCTGCTATGGAATAAAATCTGGAAACTTAATCATAAATATTTAATCACAAACAAAATCAAAGAAATTTCGCTTGAACTCATTGATAAATATTACCCATATAATTATTATCTTGTGAACAGATTGAATTGTGATATTGATACATTTTGTACATTTTGTGTTCTACATGATGAAACATTTTATCATTTATTTTGGAGTTGTCCTCATTCAGTTTGTTTTTGGTCAGATTTCTGTTCCTTTATTAGGGCTCATATCATGCCCAGCTTTCAACTGTGCTTTAAAAATGTGTTATTTGTTTTTTTTTCTCTTATGACAAATCTTATCATAAGGAATATTACTTAATTAATCTGCTTCTTCTGTTAGCTAAATTTAGTATTCATAAATGTAAATTTGGAGGAAACAAGCCTTTGTTTTTAATTTTAAGAGCAGAAATGAAACATTACCTAAACACAATATTGGGTTTGAAAAATAAGAAAGCTGCAAAGTGTGTCTCAATCTGTAAACTTTTTCACATTTTTGTTTAACTTTTAAGTTTGTCACTGTTTCTTTATATGTCTTTGTATGTTTGTTTATTTGGTTTACTCATTGTACCCCCCTGACTGAGTTGTAATTCTTAAAAAGCAATAAAAAAAATAATAAAAAATAAAAGACTAAATGTCTGGTGTGAGTGAGCGGAGGTGGGGCTAATTTGCATATTCATGGTTCTGCGTGTACTAATTGAAGCAAGGGTTATAGAGTTACACTCAAGCTATTTTAAGGCATGAAGATTTTTTTTTTAAATATGTCATTTTGGTGATCAAAGATGAGTTTTAAGGGATACAATTATTGACTACAGGGGGACTTTAAGCCCTTGGCTGTTTTCAACAAACTGTCATTTATTCAAAGAGCTGACGAGAAAGGAAACTGTTCAACAAAACTGAGAACTTATGCTTACTATCTGTACACAGTTTGCAATGTGACTTTGTAAATGTATAATTTTGAGTTTTTATTGATGGGAGGGTCAAATCCGAGACCAGAAGAAGGCTGAACATTTCAGACATTGTAAATATGCTTTCCTCTGGGGTGAACAAAGCCTGGTTTATGAGTTGAATCAGTTGTGTTAAATGAGGTAGACATCCAAAATGTGCATTGGTAGGGGGTCTCAAGGATCATGTTAAGAAGCTTACTGAGAAGACTTATTGGCTCAAGTCAAAAGAGCCCACCCCAATGCTGTGTCTGAAACCATTCACTATTCCCTATATAGTGCATTGTAGTTTTCCTTGCAACCAATTCCTTACAATCTAATGAGTTGAAAATAAAGCAGCCTCAGTGAATTAGTTGGTATAAAAAAACACTTGAAATTAAAGGCACAGTATGTAAGTTTCGCTTCTAGAGATCGCTTATTCTAACAATAACGAAGGCATAACTTGATGACGCTGTGAATGAGCATGGAATCATGGGATTCCATCACAGTGATGGAAAGCAATCTGACGGCACTTGGGCAGAAATCATGTTCATGGATGAACTAATGAATTAAAGTTTTATTAACGTTACTGTGAAGCTGGGCGGGGCCGAGAGGCTATTTTACGTTGCTGTTTTTATTATGCTTATAAGCTGCAGTCGGCCACTGTCCTTTCGTTTAGTTATTTATATTTTACGATTAAAGATAGGTTTAATGTCTGCCTCATTCTTCCCTGAACTTGAACTTTGTTACAGTAACATTTGATCACTTAAATTCACATAGTATTAGTTAATAAAACTAATGTCTAATTAAACAGCCACAAATGCTGAATTACTCATAGAGGTCACTTTATCTGAAAATTGAGAATGTGGGTTCTGCACTGTTTTACAATCATACTAAAAATACATTTCAGTGAGTTGAAAGTTATGTTGTTACGTTGCACATTGCAGTAAACTAGATTGATATTAGAATATCATATATTTGTAAATGAATTGCATGCCATTTAGCAACACAAGTCATCCAGTTTTTATTTATATTTTCTCTGAGAAAATGCTATATTACTGTTACTAAAAATAATCTGGTAGTCTGATTATGCTATGTTAGCCACTTGACAAAATGGTACAAACATGTTACCCGTGGTAAATCAAGAAAACAAGAGATTCGCAGACTAACCGTGTTGAGCTATATGACAATGTTTAGTTTTCTGTCGAAAAAGGTAACTACATTTGCTCAGATGTCTAATAAAACAAATAATATATTAAACATCTTTGGTGTTTCCATTGTTTCTACAGAAGTAAAACTGGAAATCAAGGGTAGCGCGGATATGACGTAATTGACAGGCGACGCAATGACACAGACGTTATTCTGGTTAAAATTGTGTATTTTTCTGGATTTAAACATTGTTGGACACGTTTGGGATAATGTAAGTACACAAGTCAACAAAATATATAACATTGGTTTAGTGTTTTTTGATATTTGAATCCTAAAATCTTACATTTTGTGCTTTTAATGATTTTTTCCAAACATGTAAACACTCCATCTGCCATTGGTCTGTCAACAAACGTATGCCATGTGCTGTGTTAGTCAAACAAACAAAACAATGTTTTCACAGTTACAGAGTTTGCACTTTACAGAAAGTCAACCTTCTTAGCTGTCTCTGCGTATTGAACGGGGAAAGGAAAATGTAACAACATCCTATAATTAACGTACATCAGCTTTAAAAAAGAGTGAGACAGATTTCATAATTCTAGATGGAACACAAGAGCCAAACCACCAGCCTATTTTGTGATGTGGTGACAGTATGAGCTCTGTCCTGCCTATTTTGGAGGTGTTAATTAAACACTGTTTGCCTCTGGGACGTCATTGTCCACTACCTCATTGGCCCCTCTGCCATAAATATATCAAAGGGCCCAAGGTCCCCTAGGCATCTCATCAAACAGAATGCCCTCCAAACACTTATAAATTCTACCCCCTTCACTTCACCCCCACACCCCACAGACACCATTTCAGATTTATAGAGGCTTCAGGTTTACAGGCAACTTGCCTTCACACTAAATAAATGGCAGTGTTCTGCCAGGAGTAATAACCACTATGCTGATGCACAAGGAGGGGGAAGTGTCTTCACTCTCTCCATCAGTCTCAGAGCGCAGCCTTAATATTACCTGCGTCACTGCGTGCTTCCAGTCCCAGGATGAGTGCTTTTACACACATACAAGTCATTCTAGTGGAGTGTAAGGCCTTGCCATAATACAAAATGGTGTGACTTTACGGTCCACTATACATAGCAATAAATATAGGGCATTTATTCTAAATGAGCATTTGCTCTTCCAGATGTTAGACGATATAGCGGCCTGGTTCAGTGCCTGAGATTTCATTTCTCAAGGACAAAAATGATGTAAAAGTATGGTGAAGGTGTCTGAGAATGGCACTGCAGAAGGGCTATTTCTATAAACCACTGTAACTGTAAGAGCAATATTAGATTGCTTCAGACTGGCATTAATGTTGCATCAAAACACAGCTCGCTTTCAAAGAATAAATAGTATTAAAAAGTCATAAGCTTATAGATCGAAGATGCATTATTCTCAACCCCTTTTTCCCCCTCAATTTTTTCACTTTGAATAAAGAAACTGCACTCACAACTGCTTGGTAAATGAGCAGGTATTCCATGTATTATTGAGTGACTTACTGCTTTTATACAACATAAATATTTAAGACCCAAAATTGTATCATCATTATTCCTCACTCAGGTAAAAATATATTTGTAGAATAATTCCGCTAGAAGATATCTATCTGATATATGAACTAAGGTTAACAGTTCTCTAGTTCAAATGTGTGCATATGTTTTCCTCATAGTAACTCAATAAAATGTATTTTACTGACCAGTCAACATCTAGAGTCGTAAGTATCCATTTTGCAATATGGTATGGAACATAACACTTTATGATTCTCTCTTAGCAAGAACAATTGATAGACTGGTGTTTATTATAACTGCACACCTCAATATTGTTAATAGCGTGCATGACAAATAAATTGTATGCATTGCTTTAACTCTGTCTGTCTGCTTGACCAGTTTCACAATCTAAAGAGATTAAAGACTGTTCAATAAAAACCGTCTGCAGTTCAACATGGACACAAGTGCCACCTAGTGACAAGAAATAAAACATGAATCCATTGGGTTTTCAGTTAGATTCATATTTTATCATACAAAGTGTTTGTTTGTTTTTCATAGTACGCTACTGATTTTATATTAAAACATTTAGGTAAGATTAGTCAGAAATCTGAGGGAAATATTATATGACAGATAAACTGCAGTTAAAAAGTCTTAACCAGTTTCAGGTCTTTCAAACTGTCAGCTTAAATGTTCATTTTAGTATTTCATCTGAAAAAGCTCTTTATCACACCTTTTCTATTCATAGTCTAAGTGCCAGACTGTTCAACCAGGGACATACTTGACATTCACAGAAACATTCAGTCTAGACTGAAAATCTGCATGTAAATGATGAAAAATTTTTATAGCTGTTAGCGAGTGTGTCCCGTGCAAAGTATTTCAGAGTCCATGATGTTATAGTTTTGATTTCCAAACACACATTCCAAACTGAATTTAGTTAAGAAAGAGAAAAGTGAGAAAAGAAACATTCAGTTAATATAGCAGATAAGCCACTCTATATTCAGTGCAGGTATTTACATTGTCATTTCAAAATGATTGACAGCTTAAGAAATAGCTTCAGTGAAAAAAGATCCATCACTATCACTCTTATAGAACAATTATGATAACCATCAAAATCAAACAACAAAAAGTTAACAGCCAATGACCTTTTTAAGAACGTGCATTTTGTCATAGTTTGTTCAGTGTATACATACATCAACAAAAGATACCAGCTTGTAAAACATATATGTGTCTGTGTGTGTCTGTACACATGACAATAAGCAGAAGCTGATGGATGAGTTAAAACATTACAAAAGAGTGTGAAGAGTTGCAGACAGCCCTAAGTTCAGCACATAATTCAAATATTTGGCTGGAAGCGCTGAGACAGTACTAGTTATGCACTGAGATCACAACATGTGGAAGTACAGGCATCCTGTCTTTGCTCTCCCAGTGATTTCTGATCCAAGAGGGGCAGTAGGGCAGAAAAGCCAACGCTTTCAGTGGAAAAACAAAGGAATGAAAAAAAGAATGAGGGCTTTTAAGGATTTTGCTAAAACTCTCATTGCTTCCTTATCATTCTCCTTATAATGCAGCCAGTTCTTGTGTCAGTTGCTCCTTCTCTTTCTGGAGTTTGATGATACTCTGTTTATTCTGTTCCAGTCGATCTTCCAGCCACTGCAGCAGCGGGCCGCTTATGGCCGACATCTGACTGCACAGGTTTTTAGTGAACACTGAGAAGCACACAAACATACAAATTACAAAAGCTACAACAGTAAAAAAAAAAAAATGGTTCTAAATTCCTCAAATTTATAACAATAAATAAGGTTACTCCCACACCATACCCAAAAATACTTTTATAATAATGATTTAAAATTAATAAATTGACTAATTATCTTTCATTGAAAAAATATTTTGCATGAACAGATTGATCTATACCAGTGGTTCCCAAACTCTTGACAGTGGCGTAGCCCTGAGGCATTTAACATCCTTCTGTGGACCCTTTCTCTTCCACTAATTCCGAGTTCACAATTAGCCATTTCAGGCCCGATCACCCCCAGACAGGTTTTGCGAAATCGCTGAGAAATGGCCGAAATCGGAGGCAAATCGGTGCTCGTTCATGCGAGTGACAAACGAAAATCAGTTTGCATTATCAAAGACGCGATCTGAGAGAATTGACAACGCGCAAATTGACTATGCCCATGAGATATATGGCATCCTAAATATCTGGACCTGTCTGGGATTCAAAATCCTGCTGTGTGAAATGTGTTCTGATTGAAAATTACATCGGTGATGACCTAGAGCTCTCGGCGACCGGTGAAAAATGCAGCGCGCCCAGAGCTTCAGCGTGAAAAAGATGCTCAGCGCCTCGTTACACTCATGGCGTTTTAAAAACGCGGCAGTCCTATTGAAAACAATTGGAAAAATTATTATATGTGTTTAGAATGATTAAATGGATGCCGCCTTATTGGGACTATAAATCCCTCCCTACACTTACCCCTAAACACTTTATTATTAAACACGTGTAAAACACTTTATTTCCACTTTTCAAATATTTTCTTAATTTTTATTGAAAATAAATGCCTTTCCGATCTGCTATGGGATGGGAAAAGGGAGTAGAGTAAAATCGGCAAAAGGTGGATTCGATTGAGTCAAAACTTTCTACCACGCGCATTACCACTGCACCATTGCTGCTGTTCACAATCTGTAAATTTAATCATTTCCTCCTCTGTGGGCCGTGATATTTCACGTAGTGAAACTACGCAAAGCTTCTAGGTTGCACGTCACACGCAGGCTCACTATTGGCCGACGCTGGTCATGTGTGTGATGCGTGATGTACAACCTAGAAGCTTTGCATAGTTTCACTACGTGAAATATCACGGCCATACAGAGAAGGAAATGAGTAGTTGAATAAAGTCGTTATTTTTTTTGTTTTTTTGCGCACAAAAAGTATTCTCGTCGCTTGATAAACTTAAGATTGACCCTAACCCTAGTCACTCGGACTATTTTAACGATGTCTTTCATAACTTTTGGGCGGTCAGTTTCGATCCCTTAAGGAGCCTATGGAGGAGTGATCCAGCTCTCAGATTTAATCAAAAATATCTTAATTTGTGTTCCGAAGATGAACGAAAGTCTTACGGGGTTGGAACAACATGAGGGTGAGTAATTACTGACAGAAGTTTCATTTTTGGGTGAACTAACCCTTTAAAAACAAGTTTTTTTTTAGTTTTTATGTTTTAGTATCGAAGTGAGTTTGAGTTTTAAATCGATCACAGTCTGTCTATATTTGTTCTTCATGCTAGTAAGAGCTAAAACACCACTTTTACAAAGATACATCAAAAATGGCAGTAACGTAGCGTGATTTGCTAAGGCAGCAGACTCTGCAGGCACCCTATCATACACATGCTGCAAGTCAAGTCACCTTCATTTATATAGCGCTTATTAAAATACAGATAGTTTCAAAGCCGCTTTACAGTGATAATAGGAAATTAATGCAACAAAGACGCATTCAGTTTTGACCGCAAAGGATGAGGTAATATGATTGGATGTCATGTATTTGACCTTTTACGGCACTACCATTTTCCTGTTTCTACACTAGAGGCGGCATTTTGCCTGTTAGAAATGCGTGCTCGGTTTTAAGGTGGGGTAGAATTAAATGGATAGCAAAACCTCACATACCCCAGTTTGGGAACCAGTTTGGGAATTATAAAAGATTATATAATTGCATTACCTGATCCATTATGTATCTTTGTGATTGGATCCAGATGAGTTAAACTGAAAAAAAGGAAATTGGGAGGAAAACATACATATTGCATGAGGTCATAAGCAACCGTTTACTATGTAAAATAATCTAAAATATAGCTACAACAAGGAAATATATCCATGAAAATTTTTATAAATGAATCAAAGTAATCTTAAACAAGGAAATGGATAACTCTGGTAATGGCCTATACCTGTGAATCCTTCTGTACGTATCCTGTTCTTCCTGACAGAGGATTCTGGGCAGTTCCACGGCAGACTCCAGACATACTTTTCCAATGGCTTCATGTGGGACTACATGGATTGGGATCTCAATCCGCTCATACCTTGTCGTAAGAGAGGAATGTAATTTATATATTTATGATCAAAAACACTGCACAAAATACTTTTTCTTGCACACTACAAAAGGCAATAGCCCTGACTTGGCTTTACCATGTTTGTGAACCTGTTAAACAATTGATCAAACATTTAGAGTTATATTAAAACAAGTAATATAACTCTAAATGTTATATTGCATGGTGTGGACTAGTTTTGGTTTATATAAACTTAAGCTAATAATTTAAAGGCTTATGTTTAAATGCCTTAAACTCGTTTAAAATATGCATGATGCATAGATTGAAGTTGCAAAATAAAACTGTAAAACATATTATTAATTCATGAATGCATTTTTTTAAATAAAAAGCAGTTTATTTACTCTGAGCCTTTCTGGGCCTGTACTGACTGGAAACAGGTGTACAGAACTCTACCGGTCTGCAAGAGAAACAGAAAGAGCAGCCAAGGTAAAAAAAAAAAAAAGAATTTTATTGTTTCCTGTTTAGATGGTTTGCTTAACATACCTTTGTGTTTTTATCTTCTATAAAGCATGAGAAGATGAGTCCAACAAAACCCTGATCCATCATCTGATACATTGCTTGAGTCCTAACATCTGTATAATGCAAAGATCAAGTAAAATTAAAAGAAATAAAGGGAATATAATAATGCATAATTACATGCATTAATAAAAAAAAACATTATAAATAAATAAAAAACACAAAAGATTTAAAATATATATAAAAGATGATACTAACCAACATGTGATGGCCACACAGTGATGTGTGGATGAGAGTGGTACCAGCCCACAACCCGCATGGGACGTCCTGTCATCTCAGCCAACCTGTGCTTCATTTTAAGGAAATATGCTTAAACAGTATCTGGTCAGGAGGATTACACTTTATTATAAATTTCATTGAGAAGTTATGTTTTAAACACTATACAGTATAGTGCTTAAAGGGATAGTGCACCCAAAAATGAAAATTCTGTCATCATTTAATGACCCTTAAATTGTTCTAAACCTATATGATTTTTTCTTCTGCTGAACACAAAAGAAGATATTTTGAAGAATGTTGGTAACCAAACAGTTGATGGGACCCATTGACTTCCACAGTATGGAATAAAATACTATGGAAGTCACTGGGGTACATCAACTGTTTGGTTACCAACATTCTTTAAAATATCTTCTTTTGTGTTCAGCAGAAGAAAGAAATGAATAATATTCATTTATTTCCAATATATCAATTTGAGTGAAAACTGTATTGAAAAATGTACATGAATTTCAGAAGATCTTGTAATGAATTTGGTATGTCCTGTCTCAGACATTTTAGACCCACGCTATGAAAATATATAACTATTGAATGTGAATTAACTAATAACTTGTTTAACTATCATATATTAGAGTAATGTTTGTCGGTAACTCATTAACGAAAGCTATAGTGGGGCAGGGATGACGTCTGAACCTGGAAGACTAATTCGCCACTGGTTCCTTCCAAATTTTCCTATAGGGTTTTATAATGGGGGTTTTCAATTTATATGTAAAACAAAGCTTGTGGTAAATATAACTTGACGATACTTTGACGTTTTGTTCTATAATCTAAATTGCACACCCCAAAAATTCTTATCTAAAAAATTATTAGAAACAAATGTTTTCAAAAATAAACACAACTGCTTCAAAATTTGTGTTTTCAGTATGGTTGTGTTATTTACATTGTAGAACAAACCATCAAAGTATCGACAAGTTATGTTTACCACAAGCTTTATTTTACTCATAAATTAAAAACCCCGGGTAAAGAGAATGGGAACGTGACGTCAGCAACCCAGTGCATTCTGATACTTTATGACACAGACACTACATTAGAGACTGTGTAGTAATGGAGGTAGATGTTAAAACTAATACTATACATTTAAAAACACTTTAGAATGGTGAACGCTTGCTGTGTTATGAACTATCACAGCCGCTATTTCCAGCGTGGAAAACGCTGATAATTTGTATTTATATATTTTTTATTTATAACAGATATATTACAGATTCATATTTCTGAACTGCTTTAATGTGCAAGTGCTCACACCATAAATAATGTATGAAAACACGTCTGGTTATTATGGTGGCTAGTTGCGATCACTCTCCGTGTTTGTACAGTAGTGCTCCTTTCCTTATTGTTCAGCTTCTCTCAGTAAAAGGAATCTTGTACTTGTTCCATTCAAGTCCAGTTAAAAAATGTAGTAGGCTAGCGCTTTCACAATAAATCATTTCAGAGCTGCATTAGCTACAGAGGGCAATACTGTTGTGTTATCCCTTAATGCTTTAACATTAAGAAATGATTATATGTTGATTGAATAAATGATCCACTGGCTGAGACCAAGCTATATTTTGTTTATTATTTTATCTAGCAGATAAATCAGTGCCACTTTTTAGTTATTAAAAAATAAACTGCAAAAGAGAAAACAATTTGGTCTTGGGTCTGGTCTGATAGAAGACGTCCGGGTGATTTCTATGAGAGTATGGAATGTGATGAAATATGTGCAGAGTCTTGGCCGCACAACTGAGCGCTCGAAGGTACTTTAAAATATTACCCCATTTATTCTAAGTTAGTGCAAGCAGATTTTTTGTTAGTGCAATGTTTGTATTTCAGAGTGCAAAAATGAAAGTATTAACGTAAATACACTCTTTTTTTTTCTCCCGTGATTTGTATTTGTTATTATTGTACGCCCCTGAGTGTATCCAAAAACATGGCGGCGACTACCTAGAATGCAATGTGCAATGGGGTAGTTAACCCTATAGGAAAATCTTGAAGGAACCGGCGGCGAATTAGTCTTCCGTGTTTTGACGTCATCCCTGCACCACTCTATTGCAACTGTCAAGGCCGATTCACACCAGGAGGAACGATAACTATAACGATAACTACATTAGCGTTTACACCAGCAGACAGGTAGTTCTGTCATCGGCCGCTTTAAATGCTTAAGCTCTTTACAGTTTGGAGGATTCTGATTGGATGTCATTGGTTTTATCATTCATCAGCTTGAAAAAATCATTCTGAAAGTGATTCCAACGATATCGTTTCTCTGTGCAGTTATCTTTATAGTTGTGGTGGTATTGATTTTTAGAACTATAGCTTTATTGTTTATATTTATAGTTATCGTAATTTGTGTGAATGGGCCTTTACCCAGTACAGTATACAGATATCTCCTTGGGAAAAAAATTATATATATATATAAAATCATTAATACATACATTACACACTGCCATTCATGGCAGTGTTTAATGTATGCCACAGTATTGAATGCATTTACATTGTTCTCCAGACTGAGAAATACCATTGTACTTGCCAAAACAACACGTTGCCACCACCATAGCACAAGAATATAGTGCAGATTTTTGGTTAGTGCAGATTGTATTGCAGAATACAAAAACAAAAAATCCCCTTACACAGATAAGATGAATATATGATAAGTATGTATCGTTTGTGAAAGGATATCTCCGCTTCAGTGGATGCTGCTGAAAGCTGCTCTGGGGAAATCTCCACTCTGTCTTTCCTCTTGTCTGATCGACGCAGAATGATGACAGAATGAATGTGCACAATGCGGTTTGTGTCCACCTGATGGAGATAAGTCGTTTAAACAGTTACCCTACAAAGTTTCATAAACACACCAGTTGCAGTTACAAAACAACACATGATAAACGCCAGATATTCAAACCTCGCCAATGCAGAGCCCCATTACTTCCTCCTTCTCCGTACTCAGAGCATGATTCATACATACTAGAAATGCGTCTGACTCTAAATGTACCGCGTTTACTGCCATGATAAGTATTACAATCTAATAGTTAATCTTTTGGTCTGATTTATTTGTTTGTTTATCACTGTCCAACACTTCCACATCAGTAAAGCGCATGCGCTGCATTCAGCATTCAACTCCTCCTCCTCCTTCTTCTTCTGCTTCTTCTTGGTTTTAATGGCGGCTGGTTACCAGCGTGATTTACCGCCACCTTCTGCTCCGGACTGTGGAACACAGTTCTAGATGTATCAGCCTTGTCTCCCTAATAAAATCAAAGAAAGCTTTACTATTTATTTAACTTGACCATTTTATTAAAACCTTAACATGTAATTCTTGAATTCCATTTTTTTTCATTTCTTCTATATTGTTCCTTTATTGTTCATATTTGGTACAGTCAAGAATCGCATGAGGTATATTGTTTCTTCAACATGACATTATTCGCACCCATTTGGGTGTTTCCCTATCATTCAGCTCCTTCTTTTTGTAAAATGCAATAAAATCAAGAATTTGTTCATTCTCTTTAACCTTTATTTAACTGACAAAAGTACAAAGAAAAGATTTTCAAAGTTTTCACTGAGAGTGTAATTTGTAAATATAAACAAATTTTGATTTTGATGGCTGCAACACACTCCAAAAAAGTTGTGGGACGGAGGCATGTTTACCACTGTGTCCCATCACCTTTCCTTTTAATTACACTTTTTAAATGTTTGGGAATTATATTAGAATTCTCTCCTGATATTAGACATGCTCAGCAGTGGTCGTCCTTGTCTGATTCTCCTTTTCATGATGGGCCATACATTTTCAATAGGAGACAAATCTGGACTGTAGACAGGCAGTCAAGCACATGGTGTAGAGTGTCTAGAAACCACTCTGTTTTAGCATGTGCAGAATGAGCCCTGGCATTGTCTTGCTTCCCAGGAAACATGTCATGTTGATGCCATTAAATGTCTCCATATACGCCTCCACTCCACGTCATACCTTCACAAATTTGCAAGTCACCCATGCCGTTTCCACTGATGCACCCCAATACCAGACAGATGTTTGCTTTTGCTGTCGCTGATGAAAGTCTGGATGGTCCTTGTCATCTTTGGGACTGAGGACTTGAGGTTAGTTTTTCCTAAAAAAAAGCAAGCTGAAACATGGACTCATCTGACCACAGCACACATTCCCACTGTCTTTTAGACCATCTGAGATGAGCTCAGGCCAGAGAACTCGCTGCATGGAATCTCCACAATTATCTCTCCCTGCCTAACAGAGATTTGAGTGGCATTTCTTGATGCAGCGTCAGACTGTGTTGAGTGAGAATGGTTTTACTCCTGAGCACATGTGGCTGTATTTAACAGAGTAGCATGACAGTGCCGTCTAGGGGTCAAAGGTCACGCACATTCAACAGAGGTCTCCTGCCTCTGTTTGTCTACAGACTAAGAAATCTCTGGATTCTTTTGACAATATATTATGGTAGAAGGTGAAAGACACAAAATATTTGCTATCTTTTTAGAAATTTCATTTTTTAATTGTTTGACAATTCATGACATTTGGCACAACGTGATGAGCCATGACCCATCCTTGCTTTTACACTCACAATCCCCTCGCCTATAAATCAATTCACATGCTTATTGTGGACTGTTTCAAAAGAGTTTAACTTGGATAGATCATCTTTTCACTTTTATTTGTCCTCTGTTCCAACTTTTTTGGAGTGTGTTGCAGCCATCAAAATCTAAATTTGTTTATATTTACAAAATACATCTAAGTTGGTCAGTGAAAACTTTGAAAAGCCTTGTACTTTTGTCAGTTAAATAAAGGTTAAAGAAAATTAACATATTACAGATTCATGATTTTATTGCATTTTACAAAATGTCCCAACTTTTCTGGATTTGGGGTTGTATGTTTTGTTAAATGGTGTTTAAAAATATCTATTATTATTTGTTTATATTAGAGGTTTGACTCATTGTCCTTAAACTTTTTATAATAAACACCATTGAAAGAACCATTTTGAGAATATTAATTGGGAATTGATTTGGATCTATAATAAAAAATACTGTGTCAACAACAACAACAAAGTTAGTGATTCTATAAAACTGATCTTTCTGAATCCTGTGCATTCTGTAACATTCGTGTGGAAAAGAGACTGTCATTCCACGTCACATTAAAATACCAAGCATTATTCTCCTGGTTAGACAAGTATGTCCAGTTTCTCCTTACCTATTCAACACTAAGCAACACAGATACTTAGCTCATGCATATCAATAGTAGTCCTTTAAAGGGTATCACAATTGACAACACTAAAATAAAAATGAGTCAATTAGCCGACAATACTGCTTTATTCTTAAATGATTCGTCACAAATTCCAGTGGCTTTTGGGAATTCTTCAGTCCTTTTCTGAAGCCTCTGACATTTTTAATAAATGTGAATTGCTACCAATTAAAAACTGCTCTCTTCTTACTTATATTGAGGATATGTTAAAAATCGGGTAACAATCCTCCTCAGTTTACTGCATCCTTTCCTAAACCTTGTGATACTCCTGTTGGTCAAATCTGTTTTTCTGAGTCGAAAGCTAAAAATTACTCAATAAGATCTTTATTTCTTAAGAATTTGATTTCTGTTCCTCCTGTAATTTCCTTTTGGAATAATTTGTTTGTTTTAAATCTTAATTGGAAAAAAATCAGGTCTTCACAGCAGAAATTCTTTCTCACAAATAAAGTGAAAGAAATTACCTTTAAGCTCACTATCCTTAAGACATTTATAAAGATTTAAAGCTGACATTGAGCTAACATGCTCTTTTTGTTTAAATTCTGATGAAACAGTGGTTCACTTATTTTGGTCATGTCACTACACTCAGAAGCTTTGGAATGATATTGGTGTATTTGTCAAGTGTGAGATTTTGGCAGACTTTTCGATACATATGAGAAACCAGATATTTTGGCATTCAGACCCCACAAACAAAAATATCTGTTTTGTTATTAATTAAAAAAAATTCCTAAGCAAATTTTCAAACTGTAAACCAGTCTTCTCTGTCTTTTTAAAAGAAATGGAAAATGATTTAAATGTGATTTCAGTATCTTCTAATAAGGACTGTTAGGATTTGCTCTGCCTTTGATCTCTTCGTGTCAATATTTATATGTGATATATTGGCACCCTCTCTCTTTTTAATTTATTTATTTGTATTTGTCTTTTCCTTTTTGCTGTTGTCTCCCTTATTATTGTTGTGGATGTATGCTTTTTTCTTTTATGTTCCCGATCTCTGCAATATTAAAAAAGCATATTCTCCTGACGTTTGAAGATGAGAACATGAACGTGAAGGAAATTTTACAGCTCATTCAGTCAAACTGACGGATAATGATTATTTGTAGTGCAACTTTATGATGTGAAATTAGTTTGAGCCTTTTTGAGTGGAACTTCCCCAAACCGGAAGTGCCACCCATAATCTAAAACCATAGACATAATAAATACATAGACGCCCTATTGGCCGCTTTGGAACGTTGCTGCGATACGTCAACGCGTCCGCCATTTTGCGGAGGGCAAGACTGCGCTGTGAACAAATGTAAGTAAACGGGGGAGCTGCGTTTTTTCTGGATAATAACAAACTGTTTTTACATTTATCAACCGATTTCAGTGGTTTGTATGTGGTGTACAAAAAGTTCCATCTCTAGTTATTTAAAATCTCGATAGTTAGACTTGTAAAATATTTTTTTTAATAAAGAATGGTCAATTAAGCTCAGGCTTGTCATGTATCTGGCTTTTTATTCTTCGATAAGAATGGTGAAGACCCCCATACTGAGATATAATTTAAGTTTTCTTATTGTGGAAAAAGCATTTTCTGTGATTGACCAGATTTTAGCAATAACAAAGATAACTGATGGATCCTTTATAATAATACGTTATGGTACAACTACAGTGCAATGCAAATAGTAAATATAACATAAAGTGAGAAGTAGCCTAATAGTAAATAGTTTAGTCAATAAAATAAACAAATAGTATACAGCAAATAAAATAGTAATGATTAGTATAATTATATAATATCATAAGTACAATAATACAATCATAAAAATATTGATAATAGTAGTTTATTAATAATACTATAATAATAGCAATAGAATAAGAAATATCAATTACAGAATATACACAATAAAAAATAAGTTAAATAGTGACTTTAATATTTAACTATTTTTGTTAAATTTCAGTTTTATTGATCAGTATAAAAGAAGTAGCTTCAGTCAAACATACAGGATACAACGTTAAAATAGCCTAAATATAAAGTTATGAAACTTCACTTTGCCCTCAGCCAAAACGATTTACCAGGGACCCATTTATAGATTAATGAGACCAAAGATCGCCCGTTAGATATACACAAGACGAATTATATCTCATGTTTAACCACTAGACTACAGACATCCGAGTCAGCGGCAAAACTTCAGAAGCACTGGCCGAGGTACGGCTGTTCCAGGCGGGGTAGACGAGCGCTGAGCGCATCTTACAACTCCGAAAACGTCAGATAAAATTTTTAAATAGGCGCTATCTTTATAAACAAACCACATATTTGAGCTTTAAACAACTACATTGTCGACTGAAAAACTATTTAAACTACATTTCGTGACACAATAACAGTAGTATTTTTAAATGTATCCTCTGAACGTACTAATTAAATCATGACCAAATACAACCAAAAACAAACGTTCAGTCTTGCTTGTGAAAGGTAATTCCTCGAAAGCTGTTTTCAATTGTGTGGCGATGTGTACAGCCCCAAACAGCGCAAAAAACAGGCATTTTTCTCAATTCCCGGTATGAAAGGTATAGGAAAGTTGCCATTCCCAACATGGCGGCGCCGTTGACGTACGCTCCAGCGGCCAATAGGGCGTCTATGTATTTATATTGTCTATGTCTAAAACGCAGTCGGCTCGTTAGAAAAAAAAAGAAGTTCGATTGACTCTTGTTTTCCAACCGGAAGAAATACAGTTGCAACAAGTCAGCAGCGGCCAGCAGCACGTCGGTGACGTCATTGTTAATGTGTTTACTAGTGTTTTGACGGATTTAACTGGAATTATTCCTCAAAACTGGAGCTTGGTTGTTCATATCCTAAAATAAGATGTCACAGAAAGATCCTTGTCAAAAACAGGCTTGTGCCATACAGAAATGTTTACA